GCAACACCAATGCCCAAAGCTTAGAACCAGTTGTGCCCAAGCAGTGTTTGTGCAGTGCCACTCTTGCGGTACAACGGAAGAACCAGTTTGTGCCTCTTGTACACTTCTTAAAAATTTATTTATAGATACTGCAATCTGTTCCCAGATCTTAGCAGGGTGGTTATACATAAAAAAATACAAATAATTTAGCACACATAAATTGCAGGCTTTTATGAAACATATTTAAGAAATCAAAAAGAGGAAAAAAAAACACTGGTAATGAAAGAACTTTTATGGTGTTTTTATAGTGCCTATAAATGCTTACTTTGGGTGTTCGTGCCTAAATGTCTATAAGTGCCTATAAATGCCTATTTACCATATGAGCACCTTTATGAGCGCTATTCAAGCCCAAATTTTATTTTCGAGCATGGTGTGAAACCATAATTTATGTAAAAAAGGCAACATTGATTTTTCTAAACGCTATAAGGTTCAACCGTAATACGATACCCAAATTCGTGCATGGTTTCGTGGTTTCAGAATCATCATCGGCCGTAATGAAACCATCGCAACAGATGTCCCACCCGCTCTCCCATGTCGGAGTCAACAACGCGCTGCCACAGATCACCGCCGCAGTGGTCCTGTTCAGAAGCTTCACGCTCAACATTGGGCCCGATCAAGTCGGCATCGCGATAACAGTTTCGCGTGCATGTAGCCGTCACTGCCGCCCACGAAATATTCATCTCCACAGCTGAATACCAGGACGCCGAAGGGGCAAGTTGGCTGCGAGGTGGTCAACAGCAAACGCTCCAGAACGGGGCACCTAACGTGAGGATTTCGCCCAAGTCAAGTGGCCCCATTTTCGACATTTTGTTGAGAGGCAGGAAAAAGCGTGCGAGGCCTCTCATCCGCCATCCTGACCACACACACAGCAAGCAAGAGGCACACACGCGACACACATGCCAGAATGCGTGGAACAGCTCTGGGCCTGTTTCTAGCCGAAAAATGAAACTTCTGAATTCGAGCCAGCGTGGCTGACGTCGCGGAGCAGTGGAGGTGATCGAAGGGGTAGTGATCAAGAGAGGAGAGTAGATTTGCGAGAGAAGGGCAAGGAGGTGCGATAGGGTAAAGAGAGGGGAGGATACGGCGGGAAGACAACCTTGAAAACCAAAACACACGGGAAGGAGGCAGGTTGGGTAGCTTGTTAAAAGTTGCGCGCATCTCGCGCGTATTAAACTTGAAAGAGTGCCTGCGCGCACAGAGGTTAAGATGGGGGGGGGGGAATGATTCTTAAATGAAAAGAAGAAAAAAGTGAGCCCCGTAACTGTCTCTCAGAGGGAGGACACCTCAACAGTTGCTCACGAGGGGTTAGGAGTAAGGAGGGATTCAAAGAATGGGATTAAAAGGTATAGAAATAGAGCAGAAGGAGAAAGTGAGGAGCAGAGACAGCCACATACAGAAGTAAGGAGATTATAGGACAGACGAACACGGTCGCAGGAGTCTCAGCATGGGGCACCACTCGGCGAGAGCTCTTGTCGGCATCAGGAGATGGCGTAGGACGAGCCAATCAGCCAGAGCTGCGCTGTCGTCGGAGATTGCAGGGGCACAACCGGTCGGCACGAAATCCAGCGAGCAAGAGAGGTTAAAGCACAGCCGCCATAGAGCACAGCCACCTGGATTGGCGCACCCGGCAGTGTTCAGCGCATCGGCGGCCATGGTCCAAGAATTGTTTTGTTGCGCCAGCAAGTTTGCATGGCCTCATTAACTTCAATATTTCACGATTCGTTATGTGCAAATTACAGTCGTTTTACGCTGCCACACGCGTGCGGAGGGCATGCCGAGCTGAGTATGAAGTGAGCGAGAAGAGGTCCCAGTCCAAATCAAAGTACCTCTCATTCATGCTACATAACAGAACACACAAATTGCACACACCAAGTAGAATAATGTCATGCGCAATACTCTTAATGAGGTACCGTTTAAAATGCAGGATATAATCAGGAGATGGATTATGTTTCGTCTGTTTTTATAGATACAGCTAGCACTTAACGAAGTTCTGATGAAGAGCATAGAGTATGCGACGTCAGCCTACCAATGTAACGTAAAAAAGCGACGTAAAAACAGGACCATTCCTTGCTTTACGTCACTCCCTATATATTGTAGCGCACGCCCAGGACAAAAACAAGTTTTTCCACAACATGTAATTTTGCAAATCTTAACAGGAATGATCTGAAGTGCCCAGTGCACTAGTACGCTTGTGAGCTCGAAATGCCCAAACATAGTGCGGGGCCCTTTGAAGTGGTCACTGATAAGGGAGAAATGACTCCTACGTGATTACACCTAGCATCCCTCTCTTCTGGGGTATCAGTGGTCTGGTTATTTGCTCTTGCGCTGCCCCTCCAGCCACAAGGAAACGAAAGAGACCCAGGAGAGTGTTAATTGAATGGTGGACATTAGACGCACAATGCTAGACAATAAAACGAAAGACCACATACTGCGAATCGTGCGGGAAACGCATGCCTATGTTCAGTCGTTGGTATTTTTCTGCTATCGTAAACAATATCATTTTTTTTTTCTTCTTGCCAAAGATACAAGGCACGAACGTCGTTGTTTTGGAATATTTAAATTTTTGTTGAAATTTATTGTGCCTTTATTTATGGTTTTGAGGGCCTAAAACGGTGTTTTACCTGCCTATTTTTGGCACCTAAAACACTTTTTTTAGTGCCTAAAAATCCGGCCTCTAGTCATCAGCAACAAGCAAACCACGGATTTGCTTTTCCTTTTTTTCTTGCACCTCGAACATCTTTGCGTGACGGTTGAGTTGGATAGCTCGCCTCTAGTATGCTTTAAATTATTTATTTGTACGTGATCAGTTCCATCTGCAGTCTTACTGTTCGCAGTTTTTTGAGAAGTTTGCTGATTTATCTGCGCAAAAGCAGAGAAGTTCGCGGTGACCATGAACATTGACTCCTTCGATACGTCAGAAGGCTGGTTCGACCGCTTGAAGAAGCGACATAGGCTGCTGTTCTGCAACGTGTGTAATGAAAGAGGTGCGGCTGACGAAAGTGTTGTGCAGGACTGGTGGTCTAGACTATCCGTGCACGTTTCTATGTACGAGCTATGCAACATTTTCAATACTGATGAAACAGCGCTGTTCTATAAGGCTCTGCCTGACAAGACAATAGCGTTTAAGGGGGATGTGTGCATCGGTTACTCTGGCTCCTAACATGACCGGCACAGAGGGGCTGGCTGCCTCTGCTGGTGATCCGGAGGGCTGCGAAGACATGATGTTTCAAGAATATTAAGCAGCTTCCTGTCGACTACTGGCTCAACAGAAAGGCTTGGATGACTGCCGAACTCTTTCAAGCCTGGCTGCGTCAGCTCGACCACTGCTTTGCGGCCAATGCTCGTAAGGTGTTGTTCGTGCTAGACAACTGTAACGCGCACGAAGGTGTCTGGGCTTGAGAACATTGAACTGCCATTTGTTCCTCCGAACACAAGAGCTTCCCAGCAGCCAATGAACCAGGGAATCATACAGTTCATGAAAAGCCACTATCGACGATAGGTACTCGAGCGGATGTTGCTTTGCACGGAGTAAGGCAAGCAGTACGAAGTAAGCCTGCTAAGCACAATCCACATGCTGACATACGTGTGGAACAACACACCGCCTGCAGTAATCGCAAACTGCTTTAGGCATAGCAGCTTCGTGCATGACGCTGCTGATACGGGTTTGGTGGCCGATGAGGAAACCGGTGAAGAGCAAGACGGCTGCTATGTGAGCATCATGCCAGCTGATTAACCCCTGGGCGATTACTTCGCAGTTGACAGCAATGTTGCTGTGGCCGGCACAGTGACCGACAGCGATATCGTCGCCGAAGTCTCGGACGGCAAAGAGGAATCGGCTGAGGAGAATGTAAGTGATGCTGATGAGCGTCCATGCCACACAATGACGGAGGCTATGCATGCGTTGGCCTTTTTAGAGGACATATTCATGCTTTCCTCGGACAGTGTGCGCAGACTAAGCCACCTGCAGGTGCTTCGCAGAATTGTGACTTTATCGCACATTGTGTCTGTGAAGCAAACCGGGATGACAGACTTTTTAAAGAAATAAAAGTATGATGGTGTACGAGATATTTTTCAAGTGTTTTTGTTCGTACTCGCGATAATTCGTACCCTCGGTTGATTTGGACATTCTCTCCAGTCCTGCGAAGTCCGGATTAACGGGGTTTTACTGTACATGTTACGAGACGATAACCCAAGCACTCTGCCCCTCATCATGCAGGACTGCCGAATAACTGCAGAGTGAACATCACTAGCAGGAACCACACCATCATCACAGTGACCCAAGAGGCTACTCACTTCACCTGTGCAAGGTCTGGAGTGAAGCAAGTGTGATGAACACATCCATGACAATGGCACGTGTACTGTGGAAGCCGAAGTATGCAACATGTTGCCAGGGATGATTGATTACACAAAGCAATACAGGGTTTCTATGAAAGAGTGCCATTTCATTGAAAAAGATGCTGAACTCCCTCGTAAGCTCGAATAGGGTATGATGCGCAAGGCAAGAAGACTTGACTCGTCATCAAAGGGGTTTTTAGCATGTGTATCATACACAAAAAACAAAAGAACTTGGTCACTATTTGCGCACATTTTGAGGAGCAAATCTATATACAACAAACTACCAATATAATTTCACTCTTTTTCACAGGACTTGCCTGTATACATTGTGGATATTTTATTTTTAATGGTACTGTTGCATAATTAGAAATGACCACTTTTTTTCATCTGTAAGCACTACCCACTGTAATAGATTTCAACCCTGAGGGTAAAAAGGTCTGTGTATAAACTTAAAAGAGAAATTTTCAGCTAGAACCAGGAAAGAGCCCAAACCACAGGTGTGACAATCACAGCATAAGTGCTCACTGCTTGATTCCAAGAGTTCTAGATCAACTTTTTATAACTTGGTGGTTTCCTCTTTAGCGCAAGTCGATGAAGCGGTTGCATGTTTTCATTGTATCAAATACCTTTGCTGAATCTTTCAGGTGTGCCATGGCTGGATGGTCGATGCCCTTTCCTGAGGCGGCCTTGGTGGCCTGCACTAGGTCTCCCAAGGCGGCGGCAACGTCCTTGACCGCATTGACGAGCAGCACTTGGGCTTCCGGATTGTGAGCACCTAGTGAGGCAGCACCCAGTTTGACTGCCTCGGCCAGCTGCACAATGGTAGAGACGGCATTCTGGGCGGCCACGGCTAACTGCTCTTGGCTGGATGCTGCGCCGGCCACCAGGGTCTTGGTGTCTTCCACCAGGGCCTTGGCCGTCTTGAGGATGTTCTCCCGGTGGTCGACAAACTGGTCGCCTTCTTTCTCAGAGTGCAGGGTACCCGCGGTGGCAAACATGATGGTCGTGTCCAGGTCACCGATAATGCCACTCACCGTGCTGGCTGCATTTATGCATGCTTGGGTGCCTCGAGAGCCGGCCTGCAGGGCAGCCATAATGTGTGAAACCTGCAGCACATTGTAAATAATGTCAGGGCATTTGGATCACAATATGATGAACTAGACCGGGTAAATAAGAATCTGCTAGGATTGCCACATAACTCCACAAGGATGCAGTAGCCACTGAATACAAACTTGCACCCCCGAATATTGCATCCCCGCACCTCCACCAATGATGTTACGGGGAATAAAGTATATACTGGCGAGCAAATGCGTACAACGCTACTGCAGTCTGAGCACATTCACGTTCAGCACTTCGTCGTCGTCATCCTCAGGCATCTACTTAGCCCGTGACAATATGTGCTGCTGGTGCTGCTGCTGCTACAAACAACAAAGCCAGCACAATGAACAAGTCTTGGGCATCCAATGCATGCATGGTGACACCACACCTTCCACATACTGCCGCCCTGCCTCCACCTCGCTATCTTTCAGCTAGGCGTTGACTAAGTATGTTGCATCACCTTCTAATAAGCCACAGCACCACCGCAGCATCACCAGAGACATGCATTGCTGGTGGCGGCTACTCACACAGGCTGCCAAGATTGCAAGTTTTTTTCCTTTGCGACCAAGATGTGCGCAGCATCAGTACGCTCACCCGCTGCTGCTAATAAGCAAATAAACAGTCGTTATGTTTTATGCTGGAATTCATCTTTTCGCCGACCCGACGTTCCCACACCTAGTCGGAAGTACCCATTGTACACTTGTTGCTACGTTGGCTCGAGCTACCCCCAAAGTTGATAAATTTTTTTTAGACAATTACGTTGCCTATATATATTGTAACGAACAAACGCAACGCCGGAAGCTAAAACAGCTATTTAATTATGGTGAACTTGTGCCCGTCAACAAAATACACAAAGGTTATCCTGTGCTCGCTAGTGAAGAGCTCGTCAACCTCTTCTTTTGCGTCTCGCCGTGTCCCGCTCCTTCGAAAAACCGCCAGCCTTCTTTTTCCAGGGCGTGGTGCGTTGACACATGCAGCCAGCGTTGCATGGCGCGTTTGGCTTGTCAGGTGGTCTGGCAGAATTCATAAGAGCAGGAAGCAGCGCAAGACTTCAGTAGGTGCCTAACAACATGCGGCATTAGTCCTCCTCCCGAAACGCATCGTCCCGATGCGTACGCTGACGTCGAACAGTTTTGTACAGGAGTATTGACCTGATGCTTGAGCACATTTATCAGTTGTGTCGTTCAGTGCCTTTCGTAGTACGGTTTCATTCGTACTACATGTACGACTTCTGGGCGATTCCTGCGTCGGGTTGAGCACACTTGCCCTTCAGAAATTACTTCGTAGTTTAGCGAGCCTAACCGGCGAAGTACTTTGTAAGGGCCGAAATAGCGCCGCATTAGTTTTTCAGATAGGCCAGGTGCGCGTACAGGCGTCCACGCCCACACTTTGTCTCCGGGGTGGTACAGTACGTCTCTCCGCTTGAGATTATAGCGACCTGCGTCGGAGCCTTGTTGTAAGATGATACGATGTCTTGCCAAATGCCGTGCCTCTTGTGCCCTTTCTATAAAGTCGCTGATGTGCAAGTCACTCTCATTCGAATCATTGACAGGTAACATCGCGTCTAAGGTCGTTGTGTACGTCCGACCATAAGCAAGTTGAAATGGCGTGAAGTGTGTCGTTTCTTGCACTGCGGTATTGTACGCAAATGTTGCATAAGGCAAAATACTGTCCCATGTCTGGTGCTCAACGTCCACATACATCGAGATCATGTCGGCGAGAGTTCTGTTGAGTCTTTCGGTTAATCCGTTTGTTTGCGGATGGTATGCTGTAGTCCTCCTATGGTCGGTGTGGGTGAGCTTCATAACAGACTGCATCAAACGGGCAGTAAATGATGTTCCTTTGTCCGTAATGACAACGTGTGGTGCGCCATGTCGTAGTACAATCTGAGTGTCGAAAAAGTGGGCTACTTCGTGTGCCGTTCCTTTTGCGAGAGGTGATGTCTCAGCATATCGAGTCATGTAGTCTGTTGCTACAACAATCAAGCGCTTTCCCGATGAAGAGAGAGGAAATGGACCAAGCAAATCCATTCCTACTTGCTGAAATGGCCTTTTTGGTGGCTCTATTGGTTGAAACAGACCCGCTGGTTTCGATGGTGGTATCTTGTGTCTTTGGCAATCCCGGCATGACTTGACATAATGGTGCACCGAATCTCTTAATTTCGGCCAATAATACTTCCAGCGAATTCTGGCCAAAGTGCGACTACTACTCATATGGCCAGCCGGTGGGTCGTCATGACACGCTTCTAAAATTTCTGCTCGCAGTGATGATGGTACAAGAAGCAGAAACGTCTCACCGCTGTTTCCAAAGTTGCGCTTGTATAGGACGTCGTTCCGGAGGACATAGGATGTCAATCCACGGACGAAAACTCATGGTACCTTATTTTGGCGACCCTCCAAGTATTGGATAAGCGGGCGCAGTTCCGGGTCCATTCGCTGAAGACGAGCCATCTTTGACACATTCAGAACTCCAAGAAATGGCATGTCTTGTTCTTGGTCAGATGATGGAGACTCAACAGGTGCGCGAGGCAGGCAATCCGCGTCATTGTGCTTGAGACCGGACTTGTAGACCACAGTGATGTCATGTTCCTGCAGTCGCAGGCTCCATCTTGCAAGTCTTTCTGAAGGGTCCTTGATATTTACCAGCCAACACAATGAATGATGATCACTGATTGCTCGAAACGGTCTCCCGTAGAGGTATGGGCGAAACTTGCTGACGGCCCATATAACTGCGAGACACTCTTTCTCTGTCGCTGAGTAATTAGACTCAGCATTCGATAGAGTGCGGCTCGCGTAAGCGATGACCTTTTCTTCTCCATTCTGCCACGGAACGAGGATGGCACCGAGACAAACATTACTCGCGTCGGTATGCATGTCTGTATCGGCCTCTTCATCAAAATGGGCAAGTATTGGAGGAGACTGCAAACGGCGTCGCAAGTCTGAGAAAGCTGCTTCTTGTTCTTCCCGCCAAGAGAATGCTACACTTTCTTTCGTTAGCCGTGTCAAAGGCTCAGCGACCTTAGCAAAGTTTTCCACAAAGCGTCTGTAGTAGGCACATAGTCCCAGAAATCGTCTGACAGCTTTTTTGTCTTGCGGTTTCGGAAAATTTTCAACTGCTGCAATCTTTTCCGAGTCCGGGTGGACACTTTCCGCACTGACTATGTGCCCGTGGAACCGAAGCTGACGAAACCCAAAGTGACACTTTTCCGGTTTGATGGTCAGTGCTGCCGCGCGAATGGCATCCAGTACCGTTCTCAGTCGGTGGATGTGCTGCTCGAAGGTAGAAGAAAAAAACCACTACATCGTCGAGGTAGACAAGACACGATTGCCACTTGAGTCCAGAAAGCACAGTGTCCATCATCCTCTGGAAGGTAGCGGGAGCAGAGCACAAACTGAAAGGGGGCACTTTGAATTCATATAGTCCGTCTGGGGTCACAAACGCCGTCTTCTCGCGATCTCATTCATCCACCTCGATCTGCCAATATCCACTTTTTAAGTCCAAGGACGAAAAGAAGTGAGCATTGCGTAACTTATCCAAGGCATCATCGATCCGCGGAAGTGGGTAAATATCACGCTTTGTGACTTGGTTCAGCTTTCTGTAGTCAACGCAAAATCGCAGCGTGTTGTCCTTCTTTTTGACTAGCGCAACCGGTGATGCCCACGGACTGTTGGATGGCTGGATTACGTCATCGTTGAGCATTTCCTGCACTTGCTTCTTGATGACTTCCCTTTCTTTTGGCGCTACTCGGTATGGGCGCTGATGCACAGGTCTCACGTGTTCCTCGACCACGATGCAGTGCTTTGCGACGGGAGTACGTCCAACTTTCGACGAGGTCGAGAAGCACTCGGCGAACTCTCTGATGAGGTCAGCAATCTGTTGTTTCTGAGATGATGAGAGCTCTCTGTCAATGTCTACTGATTGGAGTACGTTATCTACTGTCTCTGAAGTTTTATCAAGAGTGCAAACATCTGAGACTTGCGCGTACTCATGCAGCGATGCTACGGATGTTCCCTTCACGACATGCTGCAGCTAATTTCCAAAGTTAGTTAATAGGACATACGCACATCCATCACGAAGGCTCACCAGGCCTCTTGCCACGCATAGTCCTTTTTCTAGTAGCAGTTCGATGTTTCCGTCCGCTAATCCGTCACAGTCAAGGAGAACTTCACTCTTCACAAGAACGGATACACTGGAACGTGACGGCACGGTTACATCTTCGTCCATAATACGGAGAGGTAGAACGATTGGTTTCTCCGCGTGACAGATGGCGACGGCATTCTTTGTAGAAAACGAAATCTTGGACTCTTGCAAGTCAATGACTGCATTGTTTGTTTGCAAGAAGTCCATGCCTATAATCAGTTCACGGGAGCACTCAGCAAGCACAATAAAGCTGCCGACATACACGAATCCTCTTATTCCAATCTTTGCGGTGCGCAAGCCCACGGGACTAACTAAGTGCCCTCCAGCGGTACATATCTGAGGTCCGGTTCATTCAGTTATCACTTACTTCAGCTTCCTTACGAGAGAATTACTGACAACGGAATAGTCTGCACAAGTGTCTATTAGCGCAATGGCCTCGACATCGTCGATCGTGACTAATATCTCGGAGATAACGTCGCTACTACTGCACTTGTCCGTCGTTGCGTAACTGCCGCTGTCCTGTCGGGCTAACAATGGAGGGTCTTCAGTTGTCAGTATATCAGCGGCCTCACCTCCAGAGGTCGCTGGCTCTAGTTTTCCCGCCGTGGGCTAGGAGAATGTGGTCTTCGGAGATTTGATGGCGGACGAGGACTCGGCGACCGATAGTGCATCGGTGCTGTCGAACGTGACTCCCGTTGTTGCATGTCTTGAGGTGAATATAGTGAAGACAAGTACTCTTCGATTTCGTAGGGCCGTTCACCGTTCCGCAGGCACAGTGCTTCGACTGGAAAACCACGCAGTCCCGCTCGACGATACTGGCACGCCCGGTAAAGGTGGCCTGCTTCTTCGCAGTGGTAGCAGAGGGGCC